GACACGAAAGACCTTTTTTTGGTGTTTCAAAAGATTAACTGCAGTTTGGTTTGAATTGTGTACTGTTTCTATCATTAATAAAGTTATGGCTTGTTAATGGATGGAAAAAAAAAAAGAAAGAAAGAAAAAAAGAACCCTTACCCAGTAGTGCTCTATGGCTAACTAAGCGGCTTTAGCTCTCTGATTTAGGTTTTCTCACATGTGAAAATGAAAATACTTGCCTTGTAAACTTGCTCTGAAGAACAAACCCATTATTGAATAAAACCTACTTAGAGCAAACCCATTATTTAATAAAAACTACTTGATAAAAGTACTGTCCCCAAAGCTGAGACTTTCAAAAGAGCAAAAATACTCAGCAACTGTTCACAGTCCCTACTTTATTTTCATTTGGTCTCACACACATTTTTTAAAAAACCCACACACAACTCACAAAATACCCAAACATCAGGAATTAGAAGGGTGGAAAACATGGGACTTAACAGGCTGAAAGAGTATCCTAGGCTCTAGAACAAAACCATGCCAATCAACCACAGAAAATTATTTTGTTCAAAAAACGAGTGTTATTTTAGTAGGATTTGTGGATGTTTTGGTTTTGTTTTGTTTACTTAAGGCTTTTAAAAAAAAAAGGAAAAGAAAGATTTAGGGACAAGAACTAAGCTGCTTCTACTGCATGAGGCAGGGCTAGGCCTCTCCTTGACGGCTTTTGGAAAATACAAAGGCAGGCCAACCTTCCCACCCCATTCTGCCTGCCATCTGCAAATGCAGGTACCCTGGCCCACCCAGGGCATGATGGACGGAGACTACAGAGCATCCAGGATGTGGTCGATCTTGGTGACCAGCTCCTGCCGTTTTCCTGAGATGAGCTTCTCATTCTCAATGTACGTGTCTTTCTTGAGCTTGCCTGCCACCAGCCGCTCAGCTTCCACCGCCAACTTTAGCACCAGTTCCTTGACCTGGGCATCCAGCTTCTGCATTTCACTCACCTAGCCAAAACAAGAGCAAATCAGGACTTCAGAGTGGTCTTCCCACACCTCCCCTACTTACAGACCCTAGAGCCCCCATAACCAGCCACGAAGGCAGAAACAAGTCTGGGGACTCAGGGTACAATAGAGGGTCTGGCTGTGAAAAAGACAAGCTGACTTTAAATACCAATTGCACTACTTACAAACTATTACCTCCAGCTCTGACCCTTACAAGTAAGTCCCTCATCATCCCTGGGCTTATCTGTAACATGACTGTGAATTAAGTGTAAAAATATGTGAAGCCACCTGGTACAGTCCCATGGCAGGGAGTAGACTTTTTTATTTAATGTTCTTTCTCAAGCTTTCAACTTGCCAAATTAGGTGCAGGAATTCAGTTAGGCTAAATACCAAAGCAGGGAGAGGATGTACAAGGGAGCAGATTGGGAACACTCTTATAGTCACATTTGTTCAGTAGTCAACAGATATGAAGTGAGCCATATTACTGCCGGGCAAAATTTTAGGGTCTGGAAACATCAATCATATACAGAGTACCTTGCCCTCATGAAGCTGACATTCTAGTGGGTAGGATAGATAAGAAACACATAAATGGTTTTCTGACAGGTAAGGAGAGGGAGTGCTGGAGAGTGGCACAGTGGACAGGGTGGTCAGGGACAAGGGCCCTAGAGGGGGAATTTATCACCCTCCCTAACAGATAGCAAACAGGTGGGGTTCTAAATCACTTTATATGCACTAATTAAAATAACAGCATGCTCATTTTATTGAGGAAACTGAGGCTTGGTTAAGTCACTTGCCCAAGTTTACTAAGTCTGAATCAGACTGGATTCAAACCCATGATCCTAAAAATCCAGGTCTTTACTATGGCATGAGAGGTGGGGGACCTTGTCCAGTTTGGTCTCCAGAGAGGAAGAAGCTGCTCTAAATATCAGCCTTAGGACAAGCAGTGCTATAAAGGCTGGCACAGCTTTCCTCTAAACCCTCTTCTCTCACCACAAGGGTCAGCACCAAAACAAGTCCACAACTAGGTATTAGCTCACCCTACAAACTAGCAAGTAAACAAGGAGGTTGCCCAGCGTCTGACCCAGACAAGAGCAACATGCTGCACTAGATAGCAAAAAAAAAAAAAGCCTACCACAGAGTCAATTCCAAGGAACAGAAACACAATGGACAGAGTAGAATGCCCCACAGAATTTCCTAGGCTGTAAATCTTTATGAAAGCTATATCACATCTTTGTCCACAGAGCAGTTAGTAGGCTTGAACGTGTTGGTTAACTGTCGCCTAGGCTCCAGATGTTCTAGGTCCTAAGTTCCCAAATTTATTTGGCCTACAGTTCCCTTTTCAGAAAAACTTAAGTCAGTTCTCCCCCTGGCAATTAGAAACGTTTGTCCTGTAGCCCATTATCCAGGATAAACGTAGATAGCTTGTGTAACCACCCTAAATCCTTCCAGCACCCTCAAGGGGGCACTGTTGCCCACTTTGGGAAACAGTCCCTTAAGCGAAGGATGGAAAAGACAAAGAGCTACACCTACTTTGTCGCACAGGTCAGAGCCCTCTGTCTTGAGCCTGGACTGCAGCAGTGCAATTTCACTGGTCAAGGCCTTGTGCTCTGTCTCCAGGCTCTTCTTGCCGCTATTGAGGGTGGAGACATCCCGGGATTGCTTGTACCTATTAACGACCTCATCAAAGTGACGGTAGAGACCTATTCTCTTGTTGACCAGGGTCAGGACCTGCTCTGTGATGCAGGCAACTTTCATCCTGGCTTCCGCAGCTGGATCCTGGAGGAGGAAAAGATATCATGTATGACAACATGCAAGTTTGAGCCCACACCAGCCTTCATCTCCCAAAGAGCACCCACCAGCAGCAGCTGTCCAAGCAAAAGCAGCCATCTTCTTGGAAAGAAACTATAATCAACCCTACTGACTATCTATACCAGGTCCAGCACAAGACAAGGGGAAACAAAAATGAAGCAGACATTCGCTCTCTTCCAGTCCCTGGTGCTCCGGGAGCTGAGGCGTCGGTGCAGACATGGCCAAGTCCAAGAACCACACCACGCGCAACCAATCCCGGAAATGGCACAGAAACAGCATCAAAAAACCCTGGTCACAACAATACAAATCTCTTAAGGGGGTGGACCCCAAGTTCCTGAGGAACATGCACTTCGCCAAGAAGCACAACAAGAAGGGCCTGAAGAAAATGTAGGCCAACAACACCAAAGCTGCGGCTGCTCGCGCTGAGGCCATCAAGGATCTTGTGAAGCCCACAGAGGTCAAGGCCAAGAACCCAATGGGCGTCAACCGCAACTTCAGCCGACTGGCCTACATTGCCCACCCCAAGCTTGGCAAGCGGGCTCGGGCACGTATTACCAAGGGTCTGAGGCTCTGCTGGCCCAAGGCCAAGGCACAAAGCAAGGCTGATGCTCCAGCCAAGGCCATGACTCCAGCAAAAGCTCCCAAAGGCGCCCAGGCTCCCACAAAGTAGAGTAGAGGGACTGGTGTGAGCCCTGGGCTGCTGCCTGCATGGCGCTGGTGTCTTCTTGTGCTGTTTGTTGTACAAATAAACCCAGGCGGCGCTGTTAACAGTCAAAAAAAAAATGAAGCAGACATTCAATCTGTAGTCCACTGGGGAAAACAACTTTACGTGAAAATTAACAATTATAAAAATAATAATGTAAGATACTAAAAGGAAAGAAATTTCAGCTCAGGTCAAAGAAGTTCTTCAAAGAGGTATAGCTTTCCTTCCTAAGCTCTGCAAGGGTTTCCCCCAGGACCCCAGGCCCTTTTGAGGTCTCTCCACTGGTCTATTTGGTCTATTTCACAAGTCCTAATCTGGCAACTCAAAGGATGAAACAGACCTCCATATTTTATTCCACCAGACATTGCCAAAACTTTAAAGATTTATAAATAGGAGAGATTGGTTAAATAAATGATGGAACAGCCAAATGGCGTTCTGCAGCTATGAAAAACCATGAGGCTACAGTGCAAACCTTAATAAATGAAAAACTTCAGAGGAGGCCCTACCTCAGCTGGAGTCAGGAATAGAGGCCCAAATAGCTCCTGCCCTATAGCCCTGTCCCACTGTCACCCTAGATTAACAGACACTCCTACAATGGTATTTATAGTGAACTTCAATGGAAGTCTTAAAGGCTTGTCTTAAAAGAAGTAGCCAACTAAGTAAGATGCCAGCTAAATTCGCACAGAAGCTCACCACCAAGTATGATCAAAAATTTATTAATCATAAAAAACCCTGATCAGAGGTAGTTGAGAACTGTAACAAAGCTTCCAGTCTGAGCAATCCACTTGTGGAAGGCCGTGATTGACAGTGAAGCTTACAATCCAGTTACAGGACCTCCACATGAGTTCTGACTCCATTACTGTCCTCAGTCCATTGACCAAAGAAGGGAATAGTCTGCTCTCAGCAAAGTACACTGGGAAGTGCACTGCTACAGAGATACTTAAAACTTAACACCTGACTATGTGTGTCCCCCCTTTGACCCAGTTCTAACTTATTCTACTCCATCATTTTCACTTTCTGCTTTCTTTTGGATTGAGTTTTTCCTCCAGTCTTCAGATGCAGTGCTTAATAGAAGCCAAGAGACAGAACACCAAACTATATTTACTGTTTACAACAGTAAAGGACAACAAATAACGTACAAATTGGTGAAGAAACACAACAGAGCCAACAAACACCTCACACCTGCCCACAGAGCAAACTGCACAAGGAAGAACATTTTCAGTAAGAAATGAAGGGTAACACCGCCAGGTGACTACAAAAGCAGAGAATGGACAACAAGCAGCAATGAACCCTTCCTTGCTAAAGGCCAACAGGCAGCATAATGAGACTTTCTAATTGGTGGAGACCCCAAAGAGTTCACACCACTGCAACCACCACACTAATACATATGAATTCAATCCGTATTTAGAAAGCAGCACAGCAAAAAATCCCTGAGAATAAGATGAAGTCATCTTTCCATCTGTCACCACAGCTCTTGATTTGCAACGACACAATTGCAAATTCAACGCGCCTGAATCTTGCCTTTTCATAGAGACCAGAATTCCTCAACAGAAACAACTACCAGAAGAACCGAGACAACAATACTATGACTAAAGGAGAATTGTGGCCATTATTTTCTCCTACATGAATAAAGGGCAGCCAATTGAGTTTTGCAGATGTTGCCCACGGCACTGACCACCGGGCCTGAGCAGTGATGGTGGAGACTCTAGGCCACAGGGCCCTGAGGAGACACACTAGGGAAGAGCCTACAGTTCTTCCCTTGTTTGCCTTTGAAGCAGCATCCTCGTATCTAATCTTTGACTTTACCAGATGCTGAAAAAAACTTAACATTTTCACTATGTGGGTAAAATTCAGTAAGCTGTACCTACAACAGCCAGTGAAATCCTCTCTTCCATCCCCACCAAGCCCACAAACAGGTGTTCCAGGCACAACCCCCAATGCATAAGCACCGGAGCCACCTACATGATTGGATGCAACAACGGAGGAGAGGGTACCACAACACCTGGTGCCACATCTCTACCCAGACTGAAAACAGACAAGCAGGCCACATGTTTAGAGCAAAAGTGTTATAGGAAGGGAAAACAATAACAAAAAAGAGCCCAAAAAACAGATTGAGGTTTTTCTATGTTTTATTTTGTATGATTTTGTTTTATGAAATCAAGGACAATTAAATCTATAGGGACAGTAACTAGGTTGATTAGTTCCTTAGGGTTATGGCAGAGGAAAGTGGGGGGAAATGGAGAGCTATTAATAATGGATACAAGACCCCAAGAAAGCTCTAAAATTAATTGTGATGAATGCACTCCTGAACTATAGTGTGTGAATTTATTTTTACCCAAAAAAATCAGGACGGTCATCAAAGGATTGGTGAAACGGGCTCCTGCCGAGTGAGAATGAAAAGGCAAGGTGGACCCTGAACCCAGGGGGAAAGCGAGTTTTGAGAACGATGAGGGCAACGAATGTGCAAGTGTGCTTTACACAATTGATGTATGTGTGGATTGTGGTATGAACCCCAATAAAATGATTTTTTTTAAAAAGAAAAGGAAAGGTGGAAAGTGGCACCACTTTAGAGTTCTAAATTAAGAACTTGTTAATGGTTTTTCTTTTTGGTTAATGTTTTACATATTTATAACCCAAATAAAATATTAACAAAGATGATGGGAATAGCCAAAATAAAATTCAAACAGAAATAAGTGAACTTGATTTTCTTTCAAATGAGTAACACAGACAAAAGAAAAAACGAATCTAAGTACCATGGAACACAGTACTTTGACAATACATTCTCCATCTGAAAACAGAACAGCCTGCAAATGAATGTTGGGACACTACTTGTTAGCTTTGGTGTTTGTGGTGGTGAGTGTACTCTACAGCAACTATTGTGTGTTTACTACTGTTTGGGGGATTCTAAATGCTCACTGTGGGAAAAGAAAAACAACCCATGGAATGAGAGAACACAGAAGAATTTTATGGACTGGAATTAAGGGGATCACTATTAACTCATGTTTCAAACATTACACGCATTTATTCCCGGTCTGTCTGCTAGAGCCTAGAAGCACAGGTAGGGCAAAGCAATGATGATGACATCTAGATCCCAGATCACAGTCATTAAGTGCCACTCCCCCCAAAATGAAACGGGGCTCATGAGACGAAGTACAAGATGTACCCAAAACATGTTGCTGTGCCAAGGAGTAAAAAAGTGCTCAAAAAAACAAAACAAAATGAAAGACATGTGGAGAAGACATTGTCAAATCTGGAACTCAACAGAGCTTGAAATAAATAACCACTAGTGGACAATAGCCCACTGAATAAAATAAGAACTCATACATCTAAGCAAATAACAAATTAATCAGCCAATAAGAAAAGTTCACCTTTATAACTCATAAATGCAACCAAAAAAAATAATACTTTTGCAATAGTCATACTAATAACTAATCCAGGCAGGAATTAACAATAAATGCTAAAACTAGTGAGAAGATGAGCCAGTCAGGGTGCAGTGTAGCAACGATGAAACATACAACTTTTCCTCTAGTTACTAAATGCTTCCTCCCCCCACTATCATGATCCCAATTCTGCCTTACAAATCTGGCTAGACCAGATGGTGTACACTGGTACAGATAGGAACTGGGAACACAGGAATCCAGGACAGATGATCCCTTCAGGACCAGTGGTGAGAGTGGCGATACCGAGAGGATGGAGGGAAGATGGGGTAGGAAGGGGGAACCAATTACAAGGATCTACATATAACCTCTTCCCTGGGGTATGGACAACTGAAAAATGGGTGAAGGGAGATGTCGGACAGTGTAAGATATGACAAAATAACTATAAACTATCAAGGGTTCGTGAGGGAGCTGGGAGGGAGGAGAAAAAAATAAACTGATACCAAGGGCTCAAACAGAAAGCAAATGTTTTGAGAATGATGATAGCAATAAATGTACAAATATGCTTGACACAATGGATGGATGGATTGTGATAAGAGTTGTATGAAACAAAAAAAAAGTCGTAAAAGCCCCCAATAAAATGATTTAAAAAAACAAACTAGTAAGACTATTTATATGGCCTTAAACCAACTACATGATAATTGCCAAGGGAAAAAAAAAATAATTTTACAGTGAAAAAAACATATGAAAATAATAATCTATAACTTATCAAGGGTTCGTGAGGGAGGGTGGGCAGGTGACAGGGGGAAGAAATGGGGAGCTGATATCAGGGGCTCAAGTGGGAAGAGAATGCTTTGAAAGTGATGATGGCGGCATATGTGCAAATGTGCTTGACAAACTGATGAATGTATGCATTGTGATGAGATGTAAAAGCCAATAAAAGTATTTAAAAAAAAAAAAAAGACATCAATTTAGTTCATATCACCATATTGGGAGCAACTAGTATCAGGTCCCTCCTGACATGAAACACTGAGCATGCATCACTTTGGAATATCCTTGTCAAAATTAGTTCATCTGAATTTAATAAGCAATAAAGAGAAAGAGTGCTAAATGCTTTGTCAGAAAACTATTTCAACAACACACTCACTGCACGGAGTCAATCTGACTCAAACCAACCCAGTGGGACAGGACGGGGCCTCCCCTGTGGGACAAGTCCCAAGAATGCAAATCTTGGCAGGTAGAAAGCCTCCTCTTGAATGTTTCCTAAATGCAGTGGCCAATCATCAATGTGATTTTGAAGTCTGAAAAATAATTGCTGTAAGCTACTATTGGGAAAACAGGGAAAATTTTAATATGAATTTTCATGTTGGTTACAGTACTAAAAATACAAGCTTAACATGGAAACAGGAAACCAACTGAAGAAGTGAGATCAGCGATGCTTCAGTGTGGGTGGCAATGAATGAGATGAAACAACATGTATGAATTGTTGAATGGAAAACTGATCTCTACTGCAAACCTGCACCCAATTCACAATAAAAAGTAAATAAATTCCTGGGGGAAAAAAAACAAGCTTAAGTACGTCAAGGTGGAGAGCATGATGTCTCCAACGAATGTTCAAATGATTCAGCACAAATAATACAAATGATGAAAATAATAATCTATAACTTATCAAGGGTTCGCAAGGGAGGGCTGGCGGTGGAGAAATAGGGAGCTGATATCAGGGGCTCAAGTGGGAAGAGAATGCTTTGAAAATGACGATGGCAGCATATGTGCCAATGTGCTTGACACACTGGATGAAAGTATGGATTGTGATGAGATGTAAGAGCTCACAATAAAAGTATTTTTAAAAATATTATAACAATGTAAAGTAGAAAAATAAAACAAATGAAACCAAATGTTAACAAAGATAAATCTATGTGAAGAATATACTAGAATGGTTATTACTATTCTTGCAAATTTTTTTAAGTGTATTAAACAAAGGAGTTGGCAGTAAGCAAGAAGAAAACTGAGGAAGACAAGAAGCCATAGAGTCTGCCAGTCAAGAGAAAATTGGGGGTGGGGGGGGTTGTGCCTACAAAGCCCAAACAAGAGTAGGAGGAGACTTAACATTAAAGGGCCCTTGATCACAGCAACCGACCTATGGCAGCATCAACAGAAGCTACACATGGAGTTTGCTAGGGGATGGGAATTCTGCCTTGGGCGTGTCATGAGGATCAGTGGTTCTCAGTAAAGCTGGTGAAACTCACTGTATCAAGGAGTGCA